CACCAAAAGGCCTCTCCTTTGTAACCTTTATTAAATTGTATTACAGTCCAGTGGTAGGAAGAGAGGACAGATAAAGACATGAGGGCAGGAGTGATCATTTTTTACCACGACATGCTTGATATACTGAATGACAGCCACAGCTACAGTAAAGCTTGCAGGCCTTCCCTCTTGAGCTGGTTTTAGAAGTGTCAGACATTTAATTAAAAAACTAGAAATCCTTTTGAATGTTCAAATCACTGCAGTTTTAGAAATTGGAAAGCGAAAAGAATGCTGCACAAAGTTAACATTTTATTTTCATGTAATACATTTCTAACTTAAACCTAGTCAAAAACGAAGACATTCCAAATAATAACTGGCGTTTTAAATCATATGCATTGTTTAAAAAGCTGATGTTGACTTAAAATAAAACAGGAATACTATTACAAGCAATAATTAAGTAGGAAAGGATATAACGAGAAGATACTAATGAGATGTAATAATTTTTGTTACCTGTTCCTCAAAAGGTATAGTTTTTTTCCCACTGCATATTAAAGCTACAAAAACGACGCCAGAGGGAAACAGAGTCTCACATCTGTTGCAGAATCACTGCGACGCTACAACTACCCAATTTACAAATTGATATAAACATACATAGACCAACTCTCCGATTATTAAAAGTTACAAAGTGCCAAGTGTGCCGAAGACGTCTGTACACTCGCAGGTCGGGACACCCCAAGTAAGTTTTCGTAGTGAAAACGAATACTTACCATAGTAATTTAACTTGATAATATTGCTTGAATAAAATAAATGAAGCTATATTTAACAATCCAGTCAAGACTCTCGTTCGACCCTGATAAAAGTGAACCGGCATGTAACCGCAATCAATTAATGTCTAAGACTGTAACGTTTACAGATAAATCTGGAGTTCAACTCTTTAGAAATGTGCCGTGAATTCCGTAAAAGCGGCTTCCACGCATCCCTTTATACAACACTGCACACCGCTCCAGGTTACTAAAATAATAAACAGCTTCAATCAGCAGGATTTCCACAGGCTCAATGACTCCTCACCTGCAATGGGCTTACAGACAGCTGTAACCTGCCCTTCCAGTGCTTCCTTCAACATCCTCGACCGTTCAGTTGCTTCACTAGAAAATCATTCACATGTATTATTACGAATACAATGTTTCTGAAAACAGTATCGTCCGGTTTCAGGGTTCACCACATGGAATCGCCGTTCAGCCCCAGGATCTTCCAGGGCACTTCTTGTGCAACAACTGCAGTTCCGTAGTCACCCGCAGAGCCCGAGATCATTGGTTCCTATTCTGCTTATAGCTGTTGTTTCTCATGCCACGAAGATGACTTAGCATGTCGTATCAATGTCTTGAATATTAGGGCAGAATTAAACTGAACTGGCGAATTATTAGACACACAAACGTTCCTGTCTTTATTTAAAAATTCAGTAACCTTCGTAATAAACAATGCGTTCTAGATTTCTGTTGCAATATTGTGTCAGATCATACAATGTAAAAAATAAATAAATTAGTTTTTGTAATTAAAACATTATGACCCAAATCACGTGTTGTGAAAAGGGTTTTTATAATTATCAACTCTAATACTTCACCGGTATAACATTATATTAGACAATTTAACTCGGAACTCCGCCACTAATTTCCGGTTAGCTCCGCAGAGGCTGCCGGGAGAAGCGGAAGGAAAGCAAACCTGCTGTGTAATCCCTGAATACTCGCAAGAGCGTTCGTGTTTAGACAAAAATTAAAATTAAAGTGAAAACTCTAAACGTGAAAGATGCCAGATTATTTGGGAACTGAGCAGCGCAAAGTGAAAGAAGAAGATAAAGAAGAAAAAACGATCAGGGGTAAGTCAGTACTCTTTTTCAATGTTAATGCGAAACAATTACAAGTAGGTATCTAAAATGGATCAAACGCCGACGGTTAAAGTATTCTCGCATAAGTAGAATCTCATCTTTTTTAATTGGTTTTGAGTTTGCAGTGTTTAGCATACAGTGCTAATCCTGATTACCGAAAGTTTAAACAATCGATACTTGACATTGTTTTCTTTGCACATAGTAGGCCCAGTGCACCAGTTTCTGTTTGAAAATAACAGCAAGTTGATTGGTAACAATTACAACGACTGTAATGGTTTAACGGTAAATGTCTACCCGCCCTACAATAGTTTACCTAACCCCTCACAAGAATTACCTCTCGGTGTTTTTACCTTTGCACAATGTTATTGAGTCAGTGAGTTTTGTGTACATTGATTTAACCGAATTCATTTTCCTGCTGCTTTTGTGTTTTTTTTAGCTTTGGATGAAGGTGATATTGCCCTTCTGAAGACCTATGTAAGTTTTCGCACTGTATTGTTCGGTAATTAAAAAGTTAGATCCGACTAGTTGTCTGGCACTACACTTCAGTTAATAGCAAATAACTCTGAAATTCCGAAATCAATTAAGTATGTAGCCTAGCTCACTCCTTGTGTTTTCTGTTTGTTGTTCTTCTTGACGGTTTTGACACTTGTTACTTTTCCATTCTCTTCTCTTTCTCACAGTTGCTGTGGATCTTGAACTGCTGTCAACTTATGTTCAGCGTAAAAATGATTTCATCACCTGCCTAAACGTGTGCATGTGATAATTGTGTGGGTGGGGGGTCTGTGATAGAAAAATAACTAATGATTTTGACCAATTAGATTTTTGCTGTATGTTGCTTCTATAAATGTTTGCTGCTTCAGATGCCTTAGTATTTTCTTTGCAGGACAAAAAAACCTAAAGCATCTTGCTTGTTTTTTTTTATCTGTTTCAGGGCCAGAGCACCTACTCTAGACAGATCAAACAAGTGGAGGATGACATTCAGCAGCTGCTTAAAAAAATCAATGAGCTGACTGGTGAGCCAAATGCGTATTAAACTTTCCATCCGGAATCCAGTGACATGTTTGTTCACAATTTCGTTTATCACACACAGATCAGAACAGTAGTTCACAAGGTTTGCATCTGGAGGTGTTCCATAACAAGGTGTTACTCCTGGCTACCGGCTTTTCCAGTTGCTTGAAGAGACGCAAAATGGAAGTCATGCTTCCTGAATACACAGAGAACACAGCTGAGCTCACACGGCAACTAGCCTTTGCTCCAAATTGTGGCTGCTTCATTTTTAGGTGAATCTGTGCTCATTAGTCGACCATCATAAATTGCTGTAAGGTGGGCTGTCTCAGGATTTCATCTCCCACAAGTCCATTCAAATGAAAATACCTTCTCACTCAGTAACCCGTTAGGAAAATTCACAGAGAGATAGATAAATATACATGTGTACATTACACAGCCTGGCTAGCTCAGTCGGTAGAGCATGTTCCTCACGGGATTAATAAAGTATGTATCTATATCTTTTTGTTTCAGACCTATTTATTAGTGACTCCCGGGAGTGATCTTGGGTCTTTTTTTTCTGTTCAGGTATTAAGGAGTCAGACACCGGACTGGCTCCTCCAGCACTCTGGGATCTGGCTGCAGACAAACAGACACTGCAGAGTGAGCAGCCACTGCAAGTGGCAAGGTATTTCAGTGTTTTAATCCTGGGTGTCTGTCCTTCATTATTGACTCAAGCTAAGTGGCAACGGAATTGTCTATTTTAAAATGTACACATCCAGAGTGTTTATTAGGTTAGTCTGCACAAGAGTAATTTGTTTGCATTCATATAATTTATGCCGGCGTCACACAACACAACTTTTTCCTAAGATTTTTAGTCAGAACCTTCATTTACATAATCTTACGAGTTGTAGAGAGCCGCAGTTCTCTAAAAAAAAATCAAACTGGTTTCTGTCGTGTGGTGCTCCTCTTCTTATTCCTCTCCGCACCACCTTGATTGGCTGCAAAAATGAGGCGACCTCACGGTACATTTTACCAGCAGCCATATCACTCTGCAACTCCCAACTGGCAACCCACTGAAACTAAGCAGGTGTGAGCCTGGTCAGTACCTGGATGGGAGACCTCCTGGGAAAAACTAAGGTTGTGGCTGGAAGTGGTGTTATATGACCTCTGTGGTCCATTTTTGAAATCCCAGGGCGTTTCTCGAAAAGAGTAGGGGTGTAACCCCGGCGTCTTGGCCAAATTCCCATTGGCCCTTACCAATCATGGCCTCCTAATAATCCCCATCTATAAATTGGCTTCATTACTCTGCTCTCCTCCCCACTGATAGCTGATGTGTGGTGAGCATTCTGGTGCTCTGTGGCTGCTGTTGTATCATCCAGGTGGATGCAGGACATTGATGGTGGTGGAGGGGAGTCCCCATTACCTGTAAAGTGCTATATAAGTGTAAGGAATTATTATTATTATTATTATTATTATTATTATTATTATTATTATTACTTTTGCGGCACCGTATGAGGTTTGGAACCGTGATGAAAAGTCGTGAGGGAATCATATAATTAGTCGCCCACTATGATTCCTACTCGTATGATTTGACACCCTCTGGGACAGAAAAGGCAGCAAAATTCAGCACTGCAGTCATTATTACATAAATTTGACATGGTCTAGAAGTTGCGTTGAGTCCTGTAGTGTGATGCTGGTTTTAGCTACCATAATATCTTTAATTTTGCATTAGATTCCTGTCCTGTGTGTAGTGGAACAAAACAGATTTGTCCCAGAGTGATGGATTTCATTTTTACTGTGTTCAAACAGATGCACCAAGATCATTAATGCTGATTCGGAGGATCCAAAGTACATCATCAATGTGAAGCAGTTTGCCAAGTTCGTAGTGGACCTGAGTGACCAGGTTGCTCCTACAGACATTGAGGAAGGGATGCGAGTTGGGTAAGGAGACATGTTCTGAAACTACATGGGGGAGACTGTTTTAAAGAGGCCCTTACCTCAGAACACAACGTTTCGGCCGTGGAGCCTTCTTCAGGTGTCAAAGAAGACGCCTGAAGACGCCTTCACACCTGAAGAACGCTCCATGGCCGAAACATTGTGTTCTTTCTTCTTTTTTTCAGCATGGAATAAACCTATTACTTGTTCTTTTACAAATGTATATATGTTTCATTGGTCAACATTTGCTGTGCTTTACTGATGAGCCCTGCTAGCTTCTCTTCATACAGTAAATGTGAAGCAGAATCAAAAGTCTGTTCAGACAGTTCTGCACTTAAGCCAGAGGTCATTCAAATTCACAATTGCTCTTCAAAAAGCATGATCCCCCAAAGGTGGTAGTCGTGAAGACATGTATCTGATCAGTTTATCCGTGCCCTGCAATACCCAATTCTGACCCCCAATACTATACATTGCCATCAATGTGTAATGTTATTTTATATTTTATAAAAAGTGTACATTGTGCACTGATTTAATTTATTAACGGATTTTTTTGTTTAAGCATGATTAATCACTTTTTTCCTCATTAAGAATTAAGGCTTTGTTTTTCTGTTAAGTAATTTTACCCTACTTAAACTTCTCAAAAGGTAATTGTAAATTTTTTGAATGCATATCCTAAGTTGTTGTGTAAGATTTTTTTATAGGGTCTGTAGTCAGAGCAAAGTTAGTAGCAATTTGAAATTCTGAATTAAGCTTTCCCCTCACAGAGTGGAAATCATATGCTGGCATCCCATAAAGTGTTAAGTTATGCTTATGTTTAAGTTTGTACCCTGCAGAAGTTAACTTCTTTTTCACTTAAAGATTGTGTGAAACATGCAGTTTGACCAGGGATGCCCAAACATTTGCATACAACTGTATGTAAATTCCTCTGATTAGTTGTGTAGTGCAAATGCCTTACAAATTTATCGATGTTTTATTATAACAATGGTTAATTACTGACCGTTAAAGTGCAGTTAACTTAACAGACCACTGGTCATATGTTACATGATGTTTACATTGTACAGTAGTTATAGTATTTAAAGTAGTAAACAAACCTTGCTAAACAGTTCATTGAAGTTAGTGTAGGATGCTTGGACACAGTTGTTTGCAAATCAAAGAATGCCTATGCTGTATTTAAGTACTATGTGGAGGTATTGTGTAGATTTATACATCTTCACTAGGTGGCAGTGTTTCATCATAATGCTTGTTTGTTTTTCAGTGTTGACAGAAACAAGTACCAGATTCATATTCCACTGCCTCCAAAGATTGACCCCACTGTCACGATGATGCAGGTGAGGACTGGGGGGCTCTGTGCACTGCTGGTGGGGAGGCTTGGGACCAGTCCAGCTTTCAGGCAGAACAGCAGCATTTCTCTCCCATGAAAGCGAGGGAGGTCACTGACTGAAAGCCAGGGCTTAAATCAGTTGGTGACTCCACAGGGAGAGCATATAGAATGTGCATTTTCCAAATCATGTGTTCATATCAAAAAGAATCTGCAGGGCTGTGCTCAAAAATGGCAATGGAGCATCCTTTTAATGATAACCCTGATGCATGAC